CGAAGCGGCCGGCCGCGGGCGCTGCGGGGACGCCCGGAGCGGCGGGGCCCGGCCGGAGGAAGCCCCCGAGGCCGGCCTCGCGTCTCGCCCACCCCGCGCCCCTGGGGTCGGTACTCACGTGAGATAACGGCCCAAAGAGTCGGGTAAAGCGTCTTCTCTTTTTCGGCGGAATTTTTAAAGAGGGATGTGGTTACCTTGAGCAGAAATACCCAAGGCGGCCTGGGCCATAGGCTGCGGGGACGACGTGAGGGAAAAGCGCGGCACCGACACCAGCTGGGCAGCAGTGGCGGCGGCGGCCGGAGAGAAATGGAACCGCGCGGGTAAAAGAAGAAAGGCGCGGGCTAGGTGGGGAGAGGATTCGGCCTCGTCACACCGCAGAGCAGCAGAGCGAGAAAGGATAAGAGGCAGAGAAGGCGACAGGATGAAAAGGGAAATGCGGCGGCCGAGACAGGAGCCAGAGAGAGTGGGAAGGCGGTGCCGGCGACGCCAGTATTTATACTAAGGGGCGGGGCCAGGTGACGTCACAGTTGGCCGGGCAGTGGCGCAAGCGGGGCGGGGCCGGCTGCCGCCTGGGGAGAAGGGAGGAACGGAAGGGGCAGGAGGGTAGCCGAAGGAGCGAAAGGGGAGAGGGCGGCTCGACTCGGCCGTGCAGGTGCAAATACGCCGCTTCCCGCCCTCCCCCCCTCCGCAGCTCCCGGCAGGCGGAGGGCCTGCCGCGCTGACGTGGGCGGGGGAGAGTGAAGGCTGCTCTGCATGCGTCCGCCCCGCGCCCCAGCCTCTCGGGCGCCTGCGCTCAAGTCCGCAGCGGGCCCCGGCGCATTGTGAACTGGGTCGGGCTCCACGCTGGCTGCCTCTGAGTGGTGTCCTAGGCCCGGGGCAGCGCGCCCCCTGCTTTGCCTGGACTGGGGGTAGGGGAGGCCTGTGGGCGCCAACGCCGGAGCTTTCCCCCTCGAGATCACTCCGCTTTGTGAGGGCTGTAGGCTACACCTGGGGACTGCCCTCCCGGGTGAGGCTCGAGCCCCCGCGGAAGGCGGCGCTCCTTTATAGAAGCGAGTTCCTCATGGCCGGAAGGATCGGCTCAGTGCTCGTACGTTGCGATACGGTGCAGTAGGAATTTTTTAAAAGAGTGTAGCTTTTATGTCTTGATTTTAAAAGGTGTTGGTGCAGTCGGACTTAGTTCTTATTAATTCAGGACCTGTGGTGGAATGTTTCTAGCGGACATTACTTTAATCCCCCATGTCTCGTTTTCGCGGTCATTTTAATTTTTCTATTCCATAAAAAATTTTTTTACTAGTGGGTCTAAGATGACCTACATAGCTTATTAATTTATTGTCATCTTTTTTAGATGTCTTTGCACCAGTGATCAGAGACCCTGAGTCCTCCCAAGCAAACGCTTTGCAACTGAGACTCAGCAGCACAAAGGAAATATGTATTGTCACACCCCCTCCAAAGTTAAGATCTTTGAGATTAAGTCCCTGACTCTTTTTTTTCCTTTCATTCTTCCGAACCTTCTGTTTACTTTGTGAGCAGTGCTGTGGTTGACTAATAAATCATCAAAGGGGAAAGGAAGAGAGAGAGCTTCCTAAGTAGAAAGGTAGAATATCTTGTGCTCAAATGTAGGCTCGGCTTGATTACTGATTTCACTCTGCTGTATTTTGACATTATCTTTCATTTCTTAAAAGTTATATTAGATTTAGAACATTTATAAGCACGGCCACTTCACTAGACCCCTGGTGGAGGAAGGAGAGCTAGAGATGAATACACCACTTGAAATCTTGCTTACAATCCAGTGGGGAAAATAAGACACCTACACAAAATAACTAAATTGTTGACAGACAAACAAATAAAATGCTACAAGGAACCTAATGGAAGGCGGAAATGATTACAGCTACGTGAGAGAAAGGCTGCTGGGAAAAGGTACAGAGTGATTTTGAAAGTAGACATCCAGACAAGGGAAATAGGTGATTTTGAGAGCAAGTGTTCCAGGTGAGGGAAACATGTGAGAAGGCACTGAAATGGCTGGGTTTAGAGAACTCTGGGCTTTCGGGTTCCAACATAGGGGCATGGTTGCAAATGAGACTGAAAAGGTAGATTAGGATGAGATCAAGAAGGGATTGGAGGGCCGGCCCGGTGGCTCACTCGGGAGAGTGAGGTGCTGATAACACCAAGGCCCCGGGTTCGGATCCCGTGTAGGGATGGCCGGTTCGCTCACTGGCTGGGCGTGGTGCTGACAACACCAAGTCAAGGGTTAAGATCCCCTTACCGGTCATCTTTTTAAAAAAAAAAAAAAAAAAAAAAAAAAAAGAAGGGATTGGAACTTGACTTTATTCTGGAACCATTTAAATAGGAACACGACATATTCAAAGGTGTGTCTTTAGAAGTTTATTCTGGCACCAGTGGATGATAGTGAAAAGAGGGTGAAAGTTTTCAAGAAAGGGAAAATTACAGCAGTTTTTAAAAGTACTAAGGGATTCAGAATGGATGGGAGGGGAAAGGCATAGAAAGAATAGAGACAATCTTGACTTTCAAGAGAGATGAGGATTTGAGGATATGAAGTTATCAACAGGGAGAATTCTGTAATCATGAACAGAGGTAGAAATAGAGGGATCCAGTTTGGAGGGACTAAGATGAGGCTGCTTTTGAGCATAAAGAATTTGAACTGTTGATGAAATATCCAGGTAAAGATGGTCCAAAGGTCCCTGGAAATAGGGAGATCTGGAGCCCTTTGGTGTGAATTTGGGAGCCTTTCCTACAGACATGGTAATTAAGGAATTGTTGAGGTGTGCAGGAAAAGGACCTAGAGAAATGCCAGAGAGAAGAGATACCAGAAGAGAATACCAAGAGGACCACCCAAAGAAGTAGAAAGAATCACAGTAGTGCAGCTTCAAGCCATTCAGGGAGAAGGGTGTTTGTTCCAAGATGGAATGAGTGATCAAGGTTGTCATATCCCTCAAACAGAATGAAAAGGTGGTTCTGATTTTGGCAAATGGCAAATCATTGGTAAACACCAATATCATGTTAAGAAGTTTGGGTTTTTATCCCAAAGGCATTGGGAAAGATTTCAATCATGGGAGTGATTTGCATTGTAGAAAAGAGGAGAATGTAGAAGTGGGAAGAGAAAGGACTATAAATTTGTGGCATGGAGAATACTTGGGAAGCCATTGTAGTCATTCACAGAAAACAATAAGGGCCTGGAAAGAAATTATTCGTGACCTTTAACTGAACAAATTCAATGGTGTAAGAGGAATAGAAGGTTGCAGAGCTTTGAGTGAAAAGCAGCTGAAGTGAGGTCAGTTGACCTCTCTCCAAGTACATGGTATTGGACTAGGGCCTAATCCAACATCATTTACACCATGAAGCAGTTAAATAACTTTTATTGTTAAAACAATGTGCCCATGTGATTAGTATTTGTATATTTGGATTTAAAGAATAATGCTGGCTGGACCGAGCCCATGGCACACTCGGGAGAATGTGGCACTGGGAGCGCAGCAGCGCTCCCGCCGCGGGTTCGGATCCTATATAGGGATGACCGGTGCGCTCACAGTGCTCACTGGCTGAGTGCGGTGCGGCCGGTCTCAAAGAGGACAAAAAAAAATAAAAATAAAAAATAAAGAATAATGCTGGCTTGTAATGAATGTAATAGAATCTTGAAAACTGTACTACATCAGAATAGGCAACATAGTATGTAACTTTAACAGTATGATAGCTATCAAATGAGAACAACATATTTGATTGTGTTTGGGGTTTTGGTTATTTTGCCAAATCAGTTTACTCATACGCAAATACACAGGTAGTGCCAGTGAAAACAGTATTATTATATAGGGAGCCCTAAGACAAAATGATAAAATGATATAATACCACTCACACTTAGATCATCCTGGTTCATTGATTCAAATTCATTTGCTTCTGTGCCAATAGATGTAAAAGATTAAGTGTATTAGATTACTGATAAAGTCACTCAAAAGTAATAGGTAAACCTAAAATCATCAGCCTATAATAGAAATCTTATGTAAGGACTGGCTGGTTAGCTCAGTTGGTTAGAGCACAGTGTTGATAATACCAAGGTCAAGGGTTCAGATCTCTGTACTGGCCAGCCATCCAAAAAAAAAAGGAAAAGAAATATTATGGAGTCACATATACAAATGTGACAAATGTGAAGACTCCAATAGCAACTGAGAGTAAAAATCCCAGTTTAATGGGTGGTATGGTTTGAATGTTTCCCCACCAAAAGCATGTGTTAGAAACTTAATCCCCAGTACAACAGAGTTGGGAGGCAGGGCCTAATGAGAGGTAATTGGCCCACGAGGGCAGAGTGAATGAATTAATTGATTAATGCCAGGAGTGGGTTCATTATCATGGGAGTGAGTTCCTTATAAAAGGGCAAGTTTGGTATTTTCTCTCTCTCTCTCTCTCTTGCTTTCTCTTGTCCTCTCTTTGCCCTTCCTCCATGGGACTACACAGTAAGGAGGCCTTCACCACTGCCCATATCACACTGGCCCACACCAGAGCCCTCCCCTTGGTCTTGGATATCTCAGCCTCCAAAACCATGAGCCAATAAACTTCTGTTCATTATAAATTACCTAGTCTGTGGTATTCTGTTACAGCAAAACAAAACAGACTAAGACAATGGGAATACTTATTTGACTTTTTTTTTTTAACTGGTAAGGGGATTGCAACCTTCGGCACAGTGTGGCCATCCCTATATAGGATCCAAACCTGCGGCCTCGGTGCTAGCAGCGCCGCGCTCTCCTGAGTGAGCCACGGGGCTGGCCCAGACAATGGGAAGGGGAAGAGAACTTAATATGAATTTCTATTGCTAAGGTAAATTCCTGGAGTACTCCTTATTTAGAAAACCAAAATATATAGGTTTTGAATAGTTAAAACATTCGCATTTTACAAATTATGTTTTAGCTATTTACCACATCTTTTTCTTTTGTTTTGTTTTGGTTTTTTTTTTTTTTTTCCTTTTTGTCTTTTTTCATGACCGGCAGCAGATCGCAACCCTCAGTGTTGCACCCGTACCGGACCGGGACCGGCAACGGGATTGCAACCCTCGGTGTTGCGCCCACACCTTGCTCAGCCAGTGAGCGGCCGATCTGTATGTGGGATCCGAACCCTCGGCGGGAGTGCCGCCGCGCTCCCAAGCGACACACTGTAGCAGTGCGCCACCGGGCCGGCCGTTTGTTTTGGTTTTTTACAACATCTTTTTGTACACGGATAACCTTTCTAAAAAGCTGACTTGCTTATTAAGAATCTGATACTATGATATTTATGGACTAGTATAAATGTTTCTAAATTGCTCAGTACAGAGTTCACATTATATACCATTCTCTCTTTGAACAGATACTCTCTTATTTGCTGAGTAACTGTTGTTAAAATCCCTTAGAATTGTAATTTCTTTACCTGGGTTGGTTTTCACCTAAGATGAGAAGTCATTTAATTTAATTTTAATTTTATTGTCATGTTTAATT